TGAGATGTAGGAAATAAGTCATAATCATAAGACAATCTAATACTTTTATTAAAAATGTTGACAGATTTAGTGAAATAATGATAACGGAGCATTAATAAAGTGCATATTTTCTGTGGAGCGATCGATTTGAGGTAGTTTTTTAAGCACTTTAAGCTCTTGTTTCTTTATTGTTATTATTATCGTCAATATTTGAAGTCCTTCTGTGCAGTCCCACAACCCAATATACCAATTATACAATATTGGTATATTGTTTTGTTTTGTTTTAAACCAAAAAGGGAAATAAGAGCAGGTTCCATTTTCAGGTTCCAAAATAAATAAATAAATAAATAAATACATAAATAAATACATACATACATACATACATATATACATACATTAATTAATTAAAACGTGCTAGATAAATTGCTGGTTCATTCCACTGTGGCGACCTTGGATTAATTAAGGGACTAAGCAGAAAAGAAAATGAATGAATGAATGAATGAATGAATGAATGAATGAACTAATTAATTAATTAATTAATAATAATAGTTTCAGTTAAATAGTTGTGTTGTTTGGAATAGAGGTAAATAGCTGGTAAAAAGCTGGAACAACCATTAAACTTAAAAATATTTTCATTTTCCATTCCACATTGACATTTAAAGCAACATGTCTAAAACTGAAACTGTTTATAGTGCACAGCTTCAACTAACAGTGCAATTGGACTTTAGGGAAATCATAAAATACTACAGAAGAGCTGAATGTGGTCTATTAATAACAGTTAAATGCAGAATGATATTATAAATGATATTATTCTACATTACAGCCTCTTTCAGCGTGAGAAGTGCTGAATTCACAGTGCACCTCTGCTGTCTGCCTCTTAATGCACACCGGGGAGCCTTTAATTAATGTCTTTGTGTGCACTTTGGACTGCAGAGGCCATTGATAATCTATCTTTCTCTCTGTGTGTCTCTCTATGGCATTTCGCGTCGACAGGGTGTCTGCTGTGCATAAGCACCTGTCCTGAATCCAGAAGCGTTTAAACACTTGCTAAAACCGAAGCTACAGATTTGTCCTAGTTGTTGAAAACAGTGTATTGTGTATTTATTTATTTATTTATTTATTTATTTATTTATGTTTGTTTGTTTGTTTGTTTGTTCGTTTGTTATGTTGTGAGTTTTTTAAGGGAATGTTTGGAGATTTGTATAGAGTTTATTTCTTTGCTTTTGTTTTTATTTAAGGGAGTAGTTTGAAATGAAATACAAATTAAAAATACAATTGTGGTCTAAATGTTCAAGCTGTTTTATATTCATATTATAAATAAATCATAACTCATAAATCATAACTTTTTGGATTTAGTTGCTAATTTGTATGATCATATTAACATAGTAACAAGGGTCCAAGGATCCAAACGCAGCTTAACCAGACAGGCAATGATCAACAGGACCAAACAGTATAATATACTCCAAAAGCGTAGTCATGGTCGGTCACAGGCTGGTCGATGCAGGTGACAAACAGGATAAACAAACAGGTTAAACAAAGAAAGAAACAAGGGTCAGGAAATACGACAAGTCTAGACTAGGGTAGGGTAGTGTATGTGTGTGTGTGTGTGTGTGTGTGTGTGTGTGTGTGTGTATGTGTGTGAGAGAGAGGTTAACAGAAAGTACAGGTATTCAGTCCATAATGATTTATCAGCTGTGTGTGTAATCAGGGGGAATCAGTAACTGTTGAGTGTGTGTATGTGTATGTGTGTGTGTGTGTGTGTGTGTGTGTGTGTGTGTGTGTGTGCGCTTGCGCGTGCGTGTGCGTGTGTGTGTGCGTGTGACGTGCATGGTGTAATTTGGAGTCCAGTTCAGTGACAGATGTGTAGTTCCGCTTTGGATGGGGAACTGAAATGCTTTAAGTGGATTTAATCCACAAATGTGGATTTTGTTCAGAAAGCCAATCGTCTGAAAGAGTATGTAAACGGGCCAATGAAATGCAAAATGAATTGGCAGTGTCAGCTTACATACCTGATGCTTGTTGCAATCAATTTAGCACAAAAGCACAGCAAAAGCAAGATGACACATTCTTTTCGCTTTAGAGACTTCTAAGAGAGTCGATGAGCAAACAAAAGCGGTCTCCTGGTCCAGAGTGTGTACACGTGGCGGCAGATGGTCGAGCTGGGCTTCTCCCTTGCCTGACGTTCTTTGGGTCCGGTGCTCCAGAACGGTGCATATAAAGTAGCAGATTTTCCTAAAAGAGTGACACAGCTGTGCAGCACGTCCCTTTCAGGATTCTGCTCTGACTGTGCGTTTCTGGATGTGGTGGTTTCCTGTCCCTGGATGATGGGCATGAGCACTGCGTTGCATGTCTGGAGGTCCAGCATGTTAATATGTTGCTCGCTGGCAGTTCATGTCGTCATTGCGATGCCACGTCTGTTGCACAGTTAAGATCGCGGCTAGCTATGGCGAGATGGTTTATCCCCCAGCTCCACGGCCGGACCGACTAGATGGGTGCTATGTAGATGACAAGAGGGCCAAGCCTTCGAAGCCTCTCGTCCCCTTCTTTCTGGAAGTGCACAGTAGGCTCACTCAGTCCTGGAGGCCACCTTTTTCTGCCTGTGCTGCCTGTCTTTTCTCTCACCACTCTTGATGGTGGAGCAGCCAGAGGGTATGAGACAATTCCTCAGGTCGAGCGCGCAATTGCGGTCAATCTTTGTCTGCGGGGTGCCGTCCAAAGCCTGTAGGTTATCTGCCTCCCTCGGAGCCAGAGATTGTAAGGCTGCGGGCCAGGCTGCTTCTGCCTTGCACGCTCTGACCACCTACCAGCGCTACCAAGCACAGGTGCTGGCCCAGCTGCACGAGGGTGAGTCCGACCCAAGCTTGGTTAACGAGCTCCGCAGCGTAACCGACTACGCTCTTCGGACAACTGAGTCCTCTGCGTGTGCATTGGGGAGGACCATGTCCACATTAGTGGTCCAGGAGCGCCACCTTTGGCTAAACCTGGGTGATATGCACAAAGTCGACAAAGTCCGCTTTCTTGACTCTCCCATATCCCAGGCTGGCCTGTTCGGCGACACTGTGGGTGAATTCCCCCAGGAATTCAAGGCAGTGAGAGAGCAGTCTGATGCTATGGGTAACGCATCTATCGGTGGGACCTCTGCAAACGTACCGTGAATCGCCCCTGAGACAGGTCATATGGAGAAGAGGAAATTTGCTTATACCCCGCTGGAGGGCCGGGCCCCATTTCTAACGGCACTTTTTAGTGTAACACAAACATCAATAAAAGAGCACTTTTCCACTCCCCCGAATTTGACAGCCCGAACTCTGCCAGTCTAGGATGCTATGTCTTCCAACTCGCAGGTTCTGTGCATTTCGCCAGTGGCTCACAGGTGCTGGGAGGACGGTCTCCTTTCTCCCACCCCTCGAGCCCCTCCTCCGAACTTTGGGTGCGGCCCAGCCCTTCGCAGTGGCTCATATGCACAATCAGGCTCGGCTACGCAATTCTGTTCGCAAAACGGCCCCCCAAGTTCACGGGTGTATATTTCACCAGGGTCAGCCCGGTGAAATATCTGCAAGGATTAGATTGCTGGTGATTATGACAAATACATTATATTATAAATTATGCATAAATTATAATACTTCTAACATTTAATTGAATACTATAAGGGTGACGCGGTGGCGCAGTAGGTAGTGCTGTAACCTCACAACAAAAACGTCGCTGGTTCAAGCCTCGACTGGGTCAGTTTCTGTGTGGAGTTTGCATAATAATCCTGCGTTCACTTGGGTTTCCTCCTGGTGCTCCGGTTCCCCCCACAAGTCCAAAGACATTCGGTACAGGCGAATCGGGTAGGCTAAAATTGTCTGTAGTGTATGTGTGTGAATGGGAGTTTCCCAGTAATGGGTTGCAGCTGGAAGGGCATCCGCTGCATAAAACGTGCTAGATAAGTTGGCGGTTCATTCTGCTGTGGCGACCCCAGATTAACAAAGGGACTAAGCCAAAAATAAATGAATGAATACTATAAATAAAATGTTATTACTTTTATTATATTTAATTTTTTATTCATTTTTGTTCACAAAATAAATTACATTTTATAAAGTATCAGTTTAATTTGTAATCTTATCTCTTTATTTGTTTGCATTTATGTTCATAGTTACATAGTTATTTTCAGTTTCACAGAACTTTTTTTTTCAGAGGACATTTGGAAATTCTAAAAAAGTGTTTAAAAACAAATTATTTAATGATATTACATAAACATACTGTTATAAAAACATTTCTGTTCCTTTGATTTTATCGAAGTGTCCTGATAAAAAAATGCAGATTTTCAGTTTTATTGTTTATCAATCACAAATGTTTGGTTATCATGGGTCGATAAAAAAAAAAAATGTAAGAGGTTGATAACAATAGTAAAAGTGTGTCAAAAAATGTTTGGGTGGCTGTTAATGTACGGCCCTCCCAGGTAAAGTCTATTTGTGGGAAGCACAGATTTGACACTGAAGACTAAAGTATTTTTGACTGTATTTTTAATTCAATAAATGCAGCCTAATTGAACATTTCTTTCTTTTTCTTTTTTTCCTAAACTACTATTTACAGGTTTACACACACACACACACACACACACACACACACACACACACACACACACACACACACACACACACACACACACACACACACACACACACACACACACACACAGTTTATTTAGACATCTGCAATTCATATCTACTGCTTGTTTTCATTAAATATCCACATTAACATTGACAAATAATACTAATAATTACTAAATATTCAGACACAAAACAAACAGAAGATGGCTCATCATTTCCAAAACCAGTTAAAGACTAATTTTTGGTCCAAAGCCAAAAATGAAACCAAAACATAAAGCAGTAATTAAACGCTTTGTTTAGCTATCCATTGAAATAAGCACATGCTCCTTTTAATAAAGTGGTTGAATGTTTGACTGAATTTCCTCATGAAAGGCCCTGATGGAAGGCATTAGTAATGAAAATGTCTCTGTGTTGTGCTTGATGTTTCCACAGTGTGTAAACCCGGGTTTTACCGGTCAGTTCTGGAGAGCAGGAGCTGCAGTAAATGTCCTCCCAGAAGCTTCAGCAAGGTTGAGGCATCCATCTCCTGTCAGTGTGAGCAAGGCTACTTCAGGACCCAGGCGGACCCTGCTAACATGGCCTGCACACGTAAGTGCCACTGCCTTGACAAACTCAAGACAAAGCTGTTTTTCCATTTATGGTTATTCTAATTTTTTGCTATGTGTTCCTGCTCCTACTGCATTTCTAAGTATTGGTTGCGATGTGTGAATTGTACAGTACATTGACTATATGGGGTGGAGTTGCACAATATATCGCTAGCATTATGCAATATCGATATTGTGGAGAATTTTTTATTTTTTATTTGACAATGATGTTGTGTGCTACATACATAGCTTGTTTATCTAAATAATACCAATTAATTGAGGCCTTTACCATCTTTATCCTCACCCCTTCAGTAGCAAATTTGTATTGTGTTCAATATTTGTTTTTCCATATAACAATACATGAAATCATTTAATAATGAAAAAAATGCCTTGTAAGCCAAGTGTCTCATGAGTGTATATTTCAAATTTGATGAAGATAGCATGCAAAACTAAATTTCTGTCCATATCGGCATCCTTCTCTACCTCACGGTCAGAGGCACTTTCTCAAAAATAACCTTTCCAAACTAAAAAAGTAAGTAACTGAATAATTTGGTCTACATTATTAGTATGAATATTTTTAGAAAGAATATACTTTTGGCTTTCCTATCTATCATATAGATTTCACAATGCCTAAAACAAAAAATAAAAGGTTATAGATGCTTAAATTATAATTATCTTAAATTATAATTTTTATCTATATAAAAAAATAAAAATAAAAAATATATATATATACATATATACATACATACATACATACAGAGCAAGGAACTTTTCACAGCATATCTGATAATATTTTGCCTTCCGGAGAAAGTCTTTTTTTTTTTTTAATTTCGACTAGAATAAAAGCAGTTTTTAATTTCTTAACACCATTTTAAGGACAAAATTATTAGCCCCTTTAGGCTTTTTTTCCCGATAGTCTACAGAACAAACCATCGTTATACAATAACTTGCCTAATTTCCCTAACTTGCATAGTTAACCTAATTAACCTAGTTAAGCCTTTGACATGAATAATGACATGGATAGGCATTTTGGAAAATTTCTCATTGCAGGTTTTAAAAAATGTGTAGTTTATTACCTAGGTTGTTTGTGGATATTCCTAATTTACAAGAAAAAGTGTCTTTTCAACACTTAGGGCGTACTCACACTATGTACAGTTGCCTTGAACCGAGCCAAAGCATGCTTGTCCCCTCTCCCCCGACGGCCTGCAATCACATTACATTTGGGCCTGGGCACGCTTACGTCATTAATGATGCACTGTTCAGTAAGCGCTCTCGCTAAGCACAGTGGAGATTTCTTCAGTTATATTGTTTAAAACATTTGGGATGCGGTGACACGCAGTCAAATATTCTGCAGAACAGATCAGCCACTTTTGATGCTCATAAACAACCATAAAGTCCTCATACTGCAGGAATTAGGAGGCTTGCAGAAGGTGCAGCTGTAGTGCGGTGAGGGGTTTGCGTCTTTAATAAAGTCTTTAATAAACTACGACAGTTTGCTTTCATTGAACAGTACGGAAGATTAATTAATCCATATGAAACAGTCCCATAAAATTCTCGTCTCGCTTTCAGTTTCGGGCTTAGGCGCTTTTTGCACTCACACACAAGTGTACTGTGCCAAAGTCCAAGCGAATCGCGCTCTGGCCCACCTCTTCCAACCGGGCTAGGGCTGGCCAAGTGAACCGTTTCTGAGCATGATTCAGAGCACTCACACTTCTCAAACGATCCAGGAAACGGGCCTAAACACAGTTCGGATAGCATAAAATGTGTACCGGTGGGCTAGATCCACATTAGTCTAAATATACATACTGTATATATAAAAAAGAGAGCTGGCAGAAGGGACGCGGGCAGCGCTAAAATGAAAAGAACAAAACCCAAACTAAATCTTAACTCCCCAGAATCATCTAGCTAATTAACTATGTGAAAAACAGTTTAATTAACACGCGGAGATCTTCCGAGTCTACTCTATCTAGCTATCCAAAAAGTACAAGGAGTGGCACTATCCCCTAACCTAGTGTACTAAACAGCAGAGTAGTCCTAAGTGTTGCAATGTATGTCACGTGACCTTCTTACCTGTCCACTTTGTCCAAGCCTCGTAAACAACGATAAACTAAGAATGATGTACGAATAACGGACGGATAATGTGCACACAGAAACGGACAACAACAAAAAAAGTTAGACGGGTTATTTCTAAACGCACATGATGAATAAAAAACAAGCAGGAAAAGCAGAGAAAGAGAAAAATGCAAGGGACTAGCGAGTGGTCTGGTGCGCATTTTTATGACAGGTGGTCTTTGCTTATTGGATGTGACGTAAGAGTGACGTAAATGGAGAGGAATGACTGACAGCTGAATGAACCAATGAACGAAACCTGACAATACATGAAAGCAGATATGGGAGAACAGAGAGAGAGAGAGAGAGAGAGGGGGGGGGGGGGGGGGGGAACACAGAGAAACAGTGCACAAATAACACAAATACATAACACAACCAACAGATCAACATAACACAGACAAATCAAGGCAAAGGCAGATGCTGCTTTGACTAGTGTATCCAGCATTGAAGTGTTATAAATGTGATTGGTTATGTTTTTGTTGCAATAAGTTGCAATAAGTTATCATTTTAAATGTTATATTGCATTAGTTCATAGGATTAATGTTTTCCAAAAAATTAGGAAACTTGTCATTTCATTTTATTGCAGACAATAGCCAGATTTATGCGAGGCCGCTACTTTACTGTCTTGATGATGTAGGCCCCTATCATACACCCGGCGCAATGTGGCGCAAGGCGTGATGCAATTGTTATTTGCTACTTTCAGCTTGGTGCAAGGGTCATTTTGAGGTGTTGCGCCACGCTTTTTAAATACCAAATGCATTTGCGCTCATATGTGCGACCATAGGCGTTCTGGTCTGAAAAAGCAGGCGTTTTGGCGCGTTGCTTTTTTGAGAAACTGTAATAGTCTGTTCTTTAGACCAGAACAAACCCGGTCTAAAGTCCGGAGCAGAGAGTGTTAGTTGTGCGCCTCGCTTACACACTGCTTACACACAAGATGTAGAGCAATACGCAAACATCTTTACATATTAAAAATAATAAAAATATTAAGGATATATAAATTAAAATATTTAGACCATATGGGGCATAGCAGGTGTATTTGGAAATAACTAAGTATTTTGACCTCACTTCGTTATTATTGTTCATTTATTCGTTTGCTAGAAATTAGAACTGAATTTAGAAATAGTTTTGAAACAAATCTTTGCGCCTAACAAACTAAATTAATTATTTATAGGCTAATTGATGTCTGTGCGTAAAGGTTTCCTTATCCACGAGAGCAAAAGCGAAAGTGAACTTACTTTACGTCATGTAAATAGCAAGTGCGCTTATGGCGTGACGCAGCTGGCTCTTAAAGGGAATGGGAGATGAGACTCTGATTGGTTTATTTTCAAAACACACCTATAACTCATTAAGAAAATACACTCAACCCTTTTAGACCATGCGCCATGGCGCAAAACGGATTTTCCCATCCTCATGTTAGCACATATGGATTCTGACAAACCCTGAATACGCTTGCACCCTGCGCTTTACGTTTTGCGCATGGACTGTCAAAATAGAGCCCATAAAGGTTTGGATGTCTTTTTTTAAATTATTATTATTATTATTATTATTATTTTTTTTTTTTAATGAAAACTTACAAAAAAAAAAAAAGGATGATCTTTGGTATCACCAATGGGACCCTGTTGGTTGATTTTAGTGCCTTGGCTCAGCAGATCAAACCAACTATCAATACTTTAGGGGTACAAACCTGAATCTTTATTGGCAGATAAGGGGTCTATATAGATGTATTTATTTATTAATGATTATGGTTTGTATCATAATTTAAAGTGAGTATAGAGTTTAAACCAAGTCAAGTCAAGTTGACCTTTATTGTCATTCCGCTACATGTGTGGACATACAGAGGAACGGAATGTCATGTCTCACAGGACAACGGTGCTACATAAATTAAATATAACTACCAACACAACACTGGACATAAGAGCTATTAAAAAAAAAAAAAAAAAAAAAAAAAAAAATATATATATATATATATATATATATATATATATATATATATATATATATATATATGAATAACATATACTATAAGATACTTTACACATAAGACTTAACTATAGACATAAGATACTTAACTATACACGTAAGACAGTACTTTGCATGAGACTAAACATTATTATGCAGGATATTTTGCAAGAGAGGTATTAAAGGTAACTATTGTGCAAATAGTATTTAAGGTTTAATATAGTGCAAAAGTTATTTAAGGTTGAAGCAGGCAGTGCAACATGAGCAGTGTTGTGCAAGTTACTTCCAAACTGTTATACATTACAGATACTGTTACTGTTATTCAAAAGTAATCCCTTATACCTTACAATATTACTGTCTTACAATTGTAATATGTTGCTTGACTCTTATATTACTTTTTAGTTACTTTCACCAAAATAACTACAGAATTAGAACTTAACATTCTAAAATGAAAAAAATGTACTGCAGAGCATTTTACATCCAGTGGAAAGGGATATGATGTAGCAGAATGACTGTGACCTATCCAGGCTACTAACAATATAGTATATAGTTGGCAATGTGAAGGCTCAAAACAATGCAAGAAAGGATGACAGTCAGAATCACAAATGATTTAAGTCCGTTAAAAGTATGGTAGTGGTAAAGTGATTATCTGGCAATATCTGTGTATAGTATATCTGTATAGCAGTATAGCTTGACTATATTCATATTAGACATAACAGGCCTATATGTAAACTCCAATGCCATGACAAGATGCAGATTTTTTTTTCTTTTCTTATTGTTACAATTATTTTATTCTTGTTAAATTTAAGTGGCTCACAAAGCAAAACTGTCATGCACAAAGTGAGCATGATGAACATAGCTTTCTCAGTATGATGCTTGTGGACCGATATCTGTTTGTGGACAAAACTGCTTGTGAGCTCTCAAATATACACTGCTCGGATGCAAATTTTCTCACACTCTCTTAAATATGCACTGCTCATACACAAATTTTCTTGCGCACTCTCAGTACACTGCTTGCTGAGTGAGATTATATGCAGACTCACAATTTGTTTCTTGTGTTCCTTCTTCCTTTTGTGCTTTTTGATATTATTGTGCTTTTTGATATTATTTATATTAGTATTTATATTAACTATTTATCAACAATAACCAAAATATTAAAATAGACTTACATATTAAATTATTTTATCTAATAAACCATAACATTTTTGTCTGTTTGTTATATGATGAGATATTTCAAGTTTCAACCACAGAGAATAGATGTTGAATGTAAAGAATACATTTTATTTTAAAAACATTTATTATACATCCAAGAGGTGCACCATACTAATAAAATAAAAAAAATAAAAACATTTAAACAAAAATATAACTATTGCAAGCAGAAATGTAAGCAATAGAAAATAGGGAAAAACTCGATAAGGTATTCTAGCCTACTGTAGTATTCACTCTTCAAATAAATGTCACAAAATGTCCCATTTTATCATGGCAACTAAAAGTGAACTAGTCTCTGTGGTCTTCCGCATTGTTGATGAGATTTTGGAAGACATTTTCCCAGTCATTCTCTTCATTTTGAGGAAAAGCTATTCCACAGGGCCCCTGAACACGTATATTACATTGGCATGTACACTGTTTTGAATAGTACTATAGTAAAGTACTTCAATTAATCTGTTGTGGTAATACTATAGTCGCTATGGTAACACAACAAGTGTAAAATAAACAAATTACCCAATGCTGTAGTTTTTATTTTTTCAATATAGGGTATATTATTCTATAATTCGCCACACTTTACTGTAGTAAAACTACACTTTGTATTTCATTTTATCAGTTCAATATTTTTAATACCAATTGTAAATGATACTAGCCTAAAACATAGGCAGTATACCAAACACTCAAAAACACTAGTATTTATTATAGAATTTACCTTAACCTTTAGATAAATAGTGTAGCAATATATAAACCATATCAACATTCTTCGGGTAACAATTTAACAGGAGGATCTCTGGAGAGCAAAAGCACGAAAAGAGGAGGAAACACGGCACAAATTGTGAGTCTGCATCATCTGAGAGAGCGAGAGCAGATAAATCGCACATGAGCAACCATGTTTTGAGTGCACACGAGGAGTTTTGTCCACAAACAGGGGAACCGGCGTGTTCGCTCGCTCATATTACATGAATGTGCTCTCGACTTGTAATACTGCACTTACGACATTTGTCAGTGAAATGATGTCACGAATGTACTGTCTTCTGCAATTTTCATTTATTTGCCGCTTTTCCACTGTGCGCTAGGGCTTAACATTACTGTGAACCGGGCTGAGCCAAAAGCCTCAGACCTCGAGCTCAGAGGCTGTATAACTGTATAAAAGGATAAAACATGAAATAATAATAATAATAATAATATAAAAAAACATAAATTATTTGTGCCCAGCTTTGACATAATTAAAGTTATCTTAGAGAAAGAGGGAGAGAGGGTAAGCAGAGAGTAAGAACTAAAGCGAGAATGAGATAGCAGCAAAGAGCAGAGCGGGAAAAGAGAAAGAGCAAAGTTTACTGCCTATTTTGTATCTTTCTTGACCATGTAAACAAAGCATAAATACTGAGACATACAAACTGACCAATCAACATGCAAAACACCTAAGGAACACACACATCTTACCCAGGCCCTGATTTTATCAGAATCTGTATGGTTTTGTTTTTTTGTTTTTTTGATGGAAATGACTTGTTTTGTTATAAAAGCAAATGCATATGATAATTTACATTCGTACAACTCTATATAACCTATAACTTTATACATTTTGTAGTTAGGTTATAATACTCTTATCATATTTCAGGGCCTCCTTCTGCTCCACGTAATGCTATCTCCAACGTAAATGAAACCAGTGTGTTTTTGGAGTGGACTGCGCCTGAAGACACCGGTGGCCGGAAAGACGTGAGATACAACATCCTCTGCAGTAAAATCAGCACCGACTCGGGTCACTACGAGCCATGTGGAAGCCATGTGCGGTTTCTGCCTCAGCGTACGGGCTTGAGAAACACCTCGGTTATGGTCGTGGATCTCCTAGCTCACACCAACTACACGTTTGAAGTGGAGGCTATGAACGGTGTGTCAGATCTAACTGGCCCTCCGCGTCAGTATGTCTCGCTCAATGTCACCACCAACCAAGCAGGTGAGCAGATTTGTCCCCCTGGAATTGTTTCCATTACATGCTAAGCTTAACATGTCAAAGTTTGAGTCTTACAGACAAGCTTGAACAGGCTTTGGAGTGTAAGAGTTATGTGGCATAAAAAAAAAAAAAAAAACTATAAAGGTGTCAGGAGAATGTGAAGAAAAATGCATGTGCTGATGTTGAAATTGAATTTAAGCAGTTGAGGAGATAGTTGTGAAATACATCTTTGATTGTGTAGAATGCATCTAATATCCTTAATATCCTTGATGTCTTTTAAAAGTCTCAAAAGGGTAATGTTTCTCAGCAGTGACAATACAAATACTGTATTTTCCTAAATGTTTTTATTTTTTATAGGTATATCTATATGTATTTATAAATTAAATGACATTTGAATACTTCTTAGATTGGTAATAATCTTAATTTAATATTTTTTTAAGAAATGGCTAAGAAATTAAACATTTTCAAATATGTTTTGATATTTTGTTATCTTCCCGCAGTATTATTTCCTTGTTTTTGTTATATATATATTTTTTTTTCCTTACACACATGGCCTTAGTTATTAGTTATTAACAAAGACTATAGAATACGCAAGACATGTCATGATTGTACTTTTGAATGGGTAAAAGTGCAACTGCGAAATCCCCTTAAGGCAAGTCATCTTAATCAGCGGCCATCTTTGAAATGCCTCTTGGGCAGTATGCTTAAGGATTCAGTTTGAATAGGAAAACATCAAATTCTCCAATACTGCTTGTCAAGCTTATGATTGAATTGCAAATTGGGAATCACCAATCAAATGAAACCATAAGTGTGTCTTCAGTTTTATTTCTAAACAAAATCACAAAACAATCTGCAGAAACTCAAATACAGTATATTTTGTATTTATTCTCTTTTTTCTTTTTAGATGTTAGTCTGAATCGAATCGTTCGGTTTGTAATGCGTACCGAACTGAAAGTCTCATACTGAACTGTTCAGTACGAATACGCATATATATATATATAAATGAGCAATATCACACGAGTAGCAGTGCGATATGGCTGTATATGGGATACAGCCATATCGCACTGCTACAAGTGTGATATTGCGTTTATACAACAGTTTGACGGCATAATTGTGTATATAAAAACAAAATCAAACATAGAGAGTCTCAAAAACCCTTTTGTATGACTGTCTTCCGCCTTGGATTTAAATCATAAGCTCACAGTTAAACAGCTGAGCAAGCATCTTTTAAACTTTAGATCTGTAGTGTCCGCTTTTTGCTGGTTGTATGTGGGCGGAGTAATACACAAAGGGTAAAGAGGTTGTACGGGTGCTGATATTACCTAAATGTATCACTACTGTCAGCCAATCAGATTCAAGAACCAGACAGAACTATATATATATATATATATATATATATATATATATATATATATATATTATATATTAGCCCCCCTGTTTATTTTTTTCCCCAATTTCTGTTTAACGGAGAGATGATTTTTTCAACACCATTTTAAACACAATGGTTTCAAAAACTTATTTCTAATAACAGATTTTTTTTTAAAATCTTTGCCATGATGACAGTAAATAATATTTTACTAGATATTTATATTTTTCAAGACACTTCTAAAAACCTTAAGTGACATTTAAAGTCTTAACTAGGTTAATTAGGTTAACTAGGCAGGTTAGGGTAATCAGGCAAATTAATGTATAACGATGGCTTGTTCTGAAGACTATTGGGGAAAAATAGCTAATAATTTTGACCTTAAAATGGTGTTTAATAAATTTAAAACTGCTTTTATTTTAGCTGAAGTAATTAAAATGTTCTTGCTCTGTTAAACATAATCTGTTATTGTATGGTATTGTCATCATCATTGTGTATCAGTTTTCACTTTGATAAATAGTGGTGAACTGCATGTACTTACTGCAACTAATTGTTGTAACACAGGCAACATGCACCTAAAACATACCTTGGGTTCAAAAACAGACACTCTTTAATGTTTCTTTCTTTTTTTTTTTTTTTTATAATGAACAGATTGAAGTTAATGCACCATATAGCACTTCTTGTGAATAAATCATCTAAAAGCTGCAGTGAAACGTACCAGCTTATTTCACATTTTGCACTAGTCAGTGATATATTTCCATAGAACTTAGATTTTTTTGTCACATGACCACTTAGACACATAGATTAGAGGGGGGTGGGGGGATGTAACAAGGGTAACTGCCCTTAAACCCTTTTCAATACAGCAGCACCTCTGCTGACTGCCATTGACTTTTCATTAAGCTAATGATGACCCTAATGCACACTGAGGCGTAATCTGCTTTATCTGTAAGAGGGTGTGTATGTGTGTTCAGTCTGTCGCATATGTCATGTAAGTGTTCAGTTTAATAAAGCACCTCTGAATTGAAGGATTTTGCCTCAGTGGAGTGGAGGTTTTGCAGAATACGGAGCGCTCAGCCTCTGTGGTTTGGATTATCCATTTGGTGGATGTGTGGAGTAGCGGTCATGTTTTATGCGAACTGGATGGCTGGAGGCTAATCGAGAGGTTTGGCTGCAGTTCTGAGACCAGACATGCTCACAAAGGTGCTTGACTGTCTGAACGCGAATCAGTATTGAAATATTGAGGAGGACTGCAGGCTGTCTTTGTGTCAGTCGACTGAAAATCACTTTTCCATTATCTCGCTTTTGTCTTCCCTCGTTTGAAGCACAACTCAATTTGAAGTCCTTTTATAGGCTAGAATTCAAAGCAAAATATGTCCAGGGACTTTCCTGGTATGCCTGTTATGCCATAATGTGTTAGAGGAAATAGTAATCTAACGAATTAAATGTTTAATAATAATACTACTAATAGTAATACTAATACTACTACTACTACTAATAATATGAAATAATAATAATAATAGTAATAATAATAATAATAATCACAACAACAACAACAACAACAACAACAACAACAACAACAACAATAATAATAATAATAATAATAATAATAATAATAATTATTATTATTATTATTATTATTATTATTGTTATTATTATTATTTTATTATTATTATTATTACATAAATTGAAATTAATGTTAGATTAAAAAATGAAAGCTTAAAAAATAATCTATATAAATATAATGATGATGATGATGATGATGCTGATGATGATGATACACGTTGACAACCGGATAATAATGTAATAATAACATCACAACAATATCACTATAATGAGTGTGTTATAATAATGGTAAAATGATAAAATAAAGATAAAAAAGTTCAAATAATGATATTTAAAAATAGATACTGTGGAGAAACTACAACTAGTCCTTTAGGACAAATGATGGGAAGTGCATTGCCAGTTTTCCAACAAATACTTAAAAACTACTAAAATGTTTAAAGGGTCATGAAACACCAAAACACATTTTTTGAGCTGTTGACAGTCGTATATGTGTCCCACACTGCTAAAAACACTATTAGGACACCTATATTTCACTAAAAAGTGTAAATTGGTTGTTTTTGCGTTATTTCAAGCAAATTTGTACTTCCGGTTTGAAACAAATTTTTGAAGCTGCGTCACGGTCATGACATAATAGCGTTGTATTCCAGCGTGCAGACTGGACGTCTGTGCCAGAGTATGTCTTATTACATCTTACAGTGTGATGCATTAATGCATGAGTAAGGCTTGGTTCAAACCAATCAGCGCACTCTATTGTGCAACTTCATTAATATTCATTACTGTCATAGTGTTTAGACGACAGAGACGCCACGTTGTGTTGGCAAAACAAGCGTGAAGTGTTGCTTTTCTAGTTTGCTGCAGTTAAGTTTTGTTTTCATTTTCTCTCTGTGAGAGCTCAGCTGGAGTCATGTGTGGATAAACAGTGTACGCGACGCTCGCAATACAACTTACGTGTCTAAGGAGGATCATTGTTTACCTAAAAACTGTTCTCATCTGCAAACGCTGAGATCCGGATTCGCTTAGTCTCCTCTTAATAAAGACACGGCTCTAGTTGCTGGTGATTGTCCTGTCTCTACAGATTTGGTAAGTGAGCGATCAGTGCTCTTTGTTTATTCAGTTTGTTCGTATCGAACTAAGTTAACTATTGCACCGAGTGTAAACATGTTAGCACTACAACCAAACTTTAACCTCGTGTAGGATTTTCTCCGCATTTTGTGATCGGAATAACACACACTTTCTGACGCTACCTGCCAAGTGCATCTAAGTTTCCGGGAAATGCTGTTTTTTTTTTCTCTCATTCACCGTACGGTATCAAACATTGCATGAAAAATACACGCTTAGAGCAGTTCCTCGAATCAAATATTTAGTTTGTCTCGAGGGACATGAATGAATTCCCTGAATGAAAGAGCCAAACTGCAGTTAAAGTCCACCATTTAATAATTTGGCAAATAATTCGACTACAGATGTCCATGTAAACACAGTCACTTTGTCCCCTCTGTGTGTGTGTGTGTGTGTGTGTGTGTGTGTGTGTGTGTGTGTGTGTGTTTTGACTCTGAAAGTCAGCGTGCCCAAATAGACACTCCCACACCATGCCTCTTTTCTTCCGCCGACACTCCCCCCTAAACAAAGCTGGACACGCCCACTTTTCTGACTTTCCAAAGTAGAGGTGTGAAAACACCCTGCTGAAACGAGGGGGTTTCATGGCCCTTTAAAAACAATGGTACTCAAAGAATGATAAAAAGACATTTCGATATTTCACTTTCAATAGTGCATAACATACTTAAAAGATACAAGAAATCTGGAGGAAGTTCAGTGCATAGAGGACATAGGCGCAAGCTGAACTACTGTGATATCCGATCCCTCAGGCAGCACTTTGTGCATCAAGAATCCTTATTCATGTTTATGAATCACCACCTGGGCTCAGGACTACTTTGGCAAACCTTTGTCAAGTACCACAATACGTTACATCTACAAATGCTTGTTAAAACTGTATTGTGCTTAAAGTAATCCCTATGTTAACAGTGTCCAGAGCGCCGTTGACTTTAGAAATCACTACTTTTTTTTTTTTATAGGCATTTGT